GTTAAAATCTGAACATTATTTTTGTAAAAGAAATATAAAATAGTCTTAGTGACTCGATGATAATTGATAGCTCCATGAACAAACACCAAGCGTTCTAGGAAGCGGAACTGAAAATGCAATTTCATACTTCATAAAAGTAGTTATTTTTTGTCTTTAATATATATCCAATATATCCTTTCACAATTGATTTTCTCCATATTCAAAGTAATATTACAAATCAAATTCTTAGTAAGATTAAATTAAATTTCGTGTTATTATATTTATCAATTTTCGCTCAGATTGGATCAAAGTTAAGTATGGTTTCCGTCAATTACGTGATTATAGAATTAGTTTATGAATTCATGCGAATATTTCTTGAAGAAAAAATTGGCATTAATATTTTATTGAGATGATAACATTTATGGTAGATAATAATAACTTGTGCAATTGAGTAATCGGCTGCTAAAGATGCTTGCATGCCTTCTTCACCACTAATTCCAACACCAATATCTGCAACCTAAAAACTTCCTCAGTACTTTTATATCTAAATTCAACTTACAAGTAAATAGTCATCAATACTTTACTTGTCTAATACCAAAAAATGTTGAATAATAAATAAGTTATTAAGAAATAAACGCTGATTTGCAAATGAAATAAGTGAATGAATTATTGTAAAGTGAAAGTTAATTCGAAATAAATCAAAGATTATTTTAATATTTTAATAGAAATTATTAATTCAAAAAAAATGAAAGTATTCAATAAATTATTATCTGTATCATTGCAACATCGTTAGCTCCATCTCCAATGGCAAGTATTGTACCATCCGTCCAACGCTTTAACAACTTCACTACAGAAGCTTTTTGCGCAGGTGAGCAACGACAGCAAATTACTGTCGCACACAGAGATGTCAAATGTAGAAAACGCATTTTATTCCTTTTTTGTAAAGCATGCGTAAGACTCTAAAGATTTGTGCTAGTTTTTACGAAAAAATTTTCATCACAAATAATTATAAAAGCTAAAAGTCAACAATTATTAATGAATATTTATTTATCTAATGAAAAATAGTAAACATTTGCGTATTTCTGAGGTTATATATTATTTAAATTTTGATTAAATGAAAGATCTAAAAAGTAAATTATTAATATTGCAATAAACAAATTATGATTTAAATATTTAAAAGTTTATGCAAAGGAAAATACTAACCTCTCCACCAACAATTAATGAAATTTTAATTTTGCGTCTAGAAAAGTCATGGATGTATACTTTGATTTTATTTCCAGTTTCTTCAGCAGTATTTTCAGAAAGCAACTTAAACCAACTTCAAGCATTATTATTGAGAAAATGTGTCAATTAATTTTGTCGCACTTTTTCCTTGCAAAACTGATACTTTTGTTTGCAATTTCAGCTCAAAATTTATTGTAATTCGAAGAAATCGCAAGTAAATTCACGTGAAACATACTAAAATTGGCATGTCTTGATCAATTAATCCACATGAGTAGCCAATGCTCTGCGCAGTTTCCAATTTATCTCCAGTTAGTACCCAAATTGCGATTCCACCTTCTATCAAATGTGCTATTGTTGCTTTCACTCCCTGTTATACCAAAAATGAAGTACATTAAATCTTTTCATCAGAATCTTGCTTGAATTTTGAGATGTTCGAATCTTGTATTTCGGATTTTCACATTCAATCAATTAGAGAATAAATTGCTTTTGATGAATCCCAACTTTGAAGAAATATCATAAACCTTGAACAATTCATCACTCATTCTTGCATATAAATTGTTTGCTTTAGTGGCAGGATTTTTGCACTGTAATTTTACTATAATTGAGTATTTTAAAGAAAATATTTTACGTTTTGCAAGCGATCTTCAATAGCTGATGCTCCAAGCAATATAAGATTCTATAATTCAATGCATTTACATGAAAAGTATTTTTAAATTTCTTCATAATTATGCATTTACTGAAATACTTGCATTATTCATGAAGAGTAATTCTAACAATCAAAATTATTCTAATGGTGATAAATAAAATCGTGCTTATTATTATTATTGATCACATTTATAATTAATACAAAAATCTATCGATCAATAATATTTGCTTAAATTTGTTAACCTTTTCAATTTTTTCAGCTTCTCTCTCAATCAATACTTCACGTTTTTCAAGCGCTAAACTTGCTTGATGGAAACCTGGTTCCCATTCGTCATATTCCTGTTTGGTAAGTACACACATTGCCATGCATAATGTTCTCAGGCCTAAATATTTTGTAAATCTAAAATCAAAATTTTTGCTAATAGTTTTATGAGAAACAGACTTACAAATATCGTGCAAATGTAAAAATCATAAGATGCAAGACAAAATTCTCAGAATTTAAGCAAGAATCTGATTAAAAAAATGTAATGTTGGCATACATGACAAGAAGTGAAAGCAACAGCAGTAGTGCTTACCAAGATTCGCAAAATCTATCAAATGCTCAATTGTTTTGTCGGATAGATGCTTGTTAGAATTAGTTGATAATCGCGGGAAAATCACTGTGTCCTAAATTTTCTCATTTTTGTAAGGTGTAATTAAAGTTAGATTTATATGGATATAGGCTACAGCTTACTGCGCCTTTGATATATAATTTCAGTTTGCCATCGGGACAACGTACAACTACACCCATTCTTTTCCGACTACTAGTGAACTCGAGAACGTTCAATATATCATATTTTTCTTCTTGTCCCATCTGCAAACTTTTTTCCACATTCACAAGTTTCAACTCTTTTTAATGGGTAATTCATTCACAATTCAATTTCAAATTTAAATGTACAGTAATTATATTTTAGAAAATTATTTAAAATAAATAAAAATGTTCGAAGTTTCTACATTCTTTGTTTGAACTCTAATAAAATTATTAATTTTATTTATATTTTAATACAATTAATGGTCGAAAATTATTAGTGTTACTGAATTAATAAAATGAACAGAATTTATCTATTAATTTTTTGATAATTTTGGTTTAATTACGAAAAAAATAAAAATTAATTGAAACGAGATATACGGCTTCAATGTAAACGCAAAATGGTGTTCGCGTGTGGAATACAAATTGCAAATCTCGCGCACCCTTAACTAGAGCTGCTTCATCTGAAAACTCCCAAGCTAAATTATTTTGGCTAAATTTATCACGATAAAAATATAATAATAATAATAATAATAATAATAAGGATTAATTAAGTTACAGTT